GGCAGCTGGAGCCCCAGCCCTTTAAATAGCCCCTGGAGCCCCCCGCTACCCCAGGGCTCCGGGGGCTATTTAAAGGGTCCGGGGCTCTCCTGCTTCTACCGCCCCGGTCCTTTAAATAGCCTTTGGAGCCCTGGGTTAGCAGCGGGGCTCCCGCGGCTATTTAAAGGACAGGGCAGCAGAGGCAGCTGGAGCCCCGGCCCTTTAAATAGCCCCGGAGCCCCCCACTATCTCCATTTGTCTGAACACTGACAAATGCATAGCTGGGAACCAGTCTGGCTCACCTATGTGTTAATATTGTTTAAATAGGTATCAGATTTTATAAAAGTGTGTTTAGACTTTATGAAATGCGTGTAAGTTACTAGGTGCATTAGTATCTCTTATAATATCTGTATCCCATGTTATAAGATAATATTTAAGTGTTTGCTCTGTAACTGTAAACCACCAGTCAGGAGAGAAGCATTACCAAGTGTGAAATACTAGTTTGCCACAGAAAGAGTTATCTTCTGCCCAACAAAAGAAGGCCCATAAACACCAGACAAACCATTGTGGAACATCAGAGGACACAATATTTTGTTGATTGCTTCCTTCCACAGCCATGAAGAGGAGATGTGCTTGTGGACTTGTCCCATCAGTTTGGACTGTGGGGGGAAGGAATAAAAATCCCTAACAAGGAGAAACTGTATCTTTATGCCGCTTGGACTCTGAGGGCCAAGGATTACTAAGCATAAGCAAAAGATCCCCAGTGCTTGGCCTGGGTTAGCCCTCCAGGACATATAGAACTTGCTTATTATAGAAGCTTATACCACCGTTTGGCACCTAAGACTGTAACTCATTTGTGTATGTTTATCTTCTTTAACCTTGTTGATAACTCCTTATTTTTTTTTCTTAGTTAATAAATCTTTAGTTAACTCTTGTAGCCTATAAGAAACTGTCTTTGATGTAAGATTAAAGTGTGATTGATCTGTTCCTTTGGGACTGGGAATACACTAAAAATCACAACAATATTCAGGTTAAGGGACCATCTATCACAAAGGCAAGTTTGCCTAGGTGGCAAGATAGACCGGATTACTCAAGGGGACAGTCTGTGACTCAGTGGTTAGGCTGTTAGAATGCCTGAGGAATTTACACTTGATACTTGGTTGGTGAAATTTAAGTATAGCAGTCACAACCAGTTTGGGGTTTGTGTCCTGCTTCATAACAGTCTGCCCTGAGTTTGATACTCACGCTCTTGAACCACTGCAGAGAGCTTGACACCTGGGTATCAAAAACCGGTCATACTACATGATTAAAATGGCCTCTTCTGGCTTTATAATATATTAATATATCAAATCTCAGGTTTGCATAATAGCTACCATCACTTTGGTTTTAAAGTGCCTCTGTACAAGGATCCGCAGCACATTTAAAATTTGACAGAATAAAATAAGCTGAATTTAATATCAAAATAAGTAACAAATACTTTTCTGATTGTATTACTGGACTATAGGGGATAAAGGAGGTCAGTGATAGTGATGGGGCATTGGAAAAAGTGCTGCATAAATGTGGGTATCTGCTGCATAATTTAGGTTAACATACCACATAGAACATGTGGCCTTGACTATGGTCTAGATTCTCTCCTGCACCAGAGCTCCATTCGGTGCAAAAGTTAGAAGAGCTCAGGGAGCTAGTTACAGCTCCCTGATTCTGGGGCCAGCCCCAGACCTGACATATCATGGTGCTCTAAGTTGTACCATTAGCATTTGCTCCACAACATTTTCTTCCTGCCCTTTACCAGACATTGGAGTGGGGTCACAGGTGCCAGGACCCAACTGCAGCATACTTGTGGCAACAGGGAGATCTTCTCCAACGGAGGAATTTTCTGCTGGGGAAGATTGACTCCTGTGCTTCCCACACAGCACAATGAGGCTGTGAGCAGCAGAGTACCTGACCCTATGAAGAGTAATATAAGAAAAATGCAAATCCCAGTGTTAGTATAGATAAACTAAGAATGAAGGCATGCTGTTAAACCCACACCCATAGCTAGACTATATCCAAAAGTATGTTATAAAACTGCCTCACTGTAGCCAAATTAATTTAATAGCACACATTAAGCTAGCCTCTACTCAGCTAAACTGCATGTAAAATCACAGCATAAGCCAGCTTCAGTATAGCTAAATATAGATCTAGTGATGGGCAGATCTCAATGCACAAAGTTTGGATGCCTATCTCAACCTAATTTTTGAACTTTTTATTTGGTGGAAAAGTCTCAAATATGTAAAGATTTGCATTCATTTTACGAAAAGAATTCATCCTTGAAAACAAGCACTTTCACTGAAAATATCTTTCCATTAGAAGCATTTTACTTGTCTTTTCTTTCAAAGTTCTGTGTAACTAGAAGAATGTTAAAATGTTTTTTTTTGTTATAGTCTGTGTTTCCTCTTCTCCTTGCGACAGGGAGATGCGGTAAAAGACTTAATGCTCCGTTTCCTGGGTGAGCAAGCAGCAGTGAAGAGACAAGTTTTAAATGCCAGTTCCGTAGAACAGTCTTTTGTAGGCTTGAAACAGCTAATTGTAAGTAAGACTACTTTTAATGTTCATCTTTTAATTTTTATTAAATTCTGTACTTCCCTGTAAATACTTCAGTGCTAATGATTGTGTAATATAGTACATATAAAAAAAAATTGTGCATGTATCTCTCCATGATTTGCTATAAAACTAGAACCAAAATACTGTAGCCTTTGATTAGCATTTGTGCTTTTAAAGGACATAGTTTGATAATCAATATTTTTAACATGGGCAAATTAAAATTAAGATTGTTTCAAATACATAGCATAGTACACTTAACCAGGTATATTTTAAAAGTTTATTTTACTCCTGGGGGAATTCTGCACCTAGAAATTCTGTGCACAATATTTTAAAATTTGGCAAAATTCTGCATATTTGATGTGAGTATCAGGAAATGCATTTCCAGTAGACGTAGAGAAGTATTAATGCCATTTTACTGGCACTATTAAGACCTCATTTGGAATACTGTGTACAGTTCTGGTCACCCATGGTCAGGAAAGATGTATTTAAAATGGAACAGGTGCAGAGAAGAGATATTAGGATGATCAGGGAACAGAGGGCCTATCTTATGAGAGGAGACTGGAAGATCTTGGCTTGTTTAGTCTAACAAAAAGAAGCCTGAGAGGGGATATGATTGCTCTCTATAAATACATTGGAGGGTAAATATCAGAGAGGATGAAGAGCTACACCTCTACCCCGATATAACGCTGTCCTCGGGAGCCAAAAAATCTTACCGCGTTATAGGTGAAACCGCATTATATCGAACTTGCTTTGATCCTCCGGAGTGCGCAGCCCCGCCCCCCCAGAGCACTGCTTTACTGCATTTTAGCCGAATTTGTGTTATATCAGGGTAGAGGTGTATTTAAACTAAAGAACAGTGTTGGCACAGGAGCAAATGAATATAAACTAGCCATGAACAAATACAGGCTGGAAATTAGAAGAAGGTTTCTAGCCATCAGAAGGGGTGAAGTTCCGGAGCAGCCTCCCAATAGGAGTTGTGGTGTCAAACAACTTAGTTTTAAGAGGGAGCTGGACAAATTTATGAGTCTGATTGTATGACAGGGTTACATGTGATGGCAGGGCTCAGCAGCCCTGGGGCTCACTTCCAGTTTATATCTTAACATTCCTAAAAGCTCATACTTCAGGGTTCCAGACAGACACCTGCAGGGGTCAGGAAGGGATTTTTTTTGCCCGAGTGTATTCTAGGTGGGTGTATTTTGATCTCCATCCTCTGAAGGAGGATGTCCACTGCTTGAAATGGAAGCGCACCAGGGCTCTGTCATGGCACCAAGCTTTCTCTCTCTCTCTCAGCGGTTTGGCTGGCTGGTTCTTGAGCACATGCTTATGGGTCTAACTGATTCCCATATGTCTCAGGTACAGCGGCAGCTCTTACAGAGGCTGGTGAGTTCCAATGAGGGAACTGGAAGTTGGGTGATAGGCCAGGACTACCTAAGATAGCCCTGTGGGATGACCCCAGTGCCTTTTTGCCAACCTTTAAGCAGGTGGCTGTTAGTGCCAGATGGGACAAGGGTGCATGGGCACTGCAGCTAGCCCCTTACCTGACCAATGAGGTTCAGGTGGCTTATGGGGCCCTAAGCAAACACCAAGCTAAAGACTGTGTGATGGGTTGTCCCCCTTTAAGGTGCCACCTGATGTACTGGGATACCACTGAGCCCACCTGTTCTGCCAACCTGGGCCCCCTTACACTGTCTTGCTGAGCCAGACTCTTAAGCCACCTCTAGCGCACACTGGCAGGGCCACACCCAGCTGCAGAGAGACACAGACACTGAGATCAGCTCTGGGAAGACACAGCTTAAGGGACTTGCCCCAGCATTCAGGTACCCACCTCCCTTGGAGTGCAGACCCAAAGGTATATAGTCTTGCGCTGTATAGAAAAATCTGCAGAGCTCAAGCTCATAAGAATTCGCCCTCTCCCTCAATGTGAAGAGACATATGTACAGCTTCTTGTGCCCCTCCCCCCGATATGGATCGCACAAACTGGGTTATGTTATAAACAAGAAATAAGTTTATTAACTACAAAAGACAGATTTTAAGTGATTATAAGGGATAGCGAACAGAACAAAGCAGATTACTAAGCAAATAAAACAAAATATGCAAACAGCTTAATTCACTAAAGAAACAAGTTACAAAATGTAATTTCTCATCCTAAATGTTGAATTAGGCGGGATGCAGTTTCTATAGCTTAGAGTTCCAATTTTCTCTTCTTACAAACTGGGCCCCTGTCTCAGTCTGGACTCATCCTTGCCTTTCCCCTTAGGTACTTTCAGCAGTCTTTCTTCTTAGGTAGACAATGGAGGAGAGTCTAGATTAACCCCCTCCCCAGCCTTAAAAAGGATTTACCTAAGGTAGGAAACCTTTATTTGATCCCCATCCCCCTACAGAGGAAAAGTACCAGCAGTGTCCAAGGTGGTATTTTGTATCAGGTGACAGGACCACCTGACCTGGTAGTGTCACAGCTACGTCCCAGGATGCCTCTCAGGAAGGAGAGAGACTAGTATCTTCACAGTCTTATTGTTTCTTCCTAATGGCCCATCAAGGCTGTGATGGCCGGTTGTCTGGTAGGTATCTCCTAAATACACACACAGTTTTAATTGTTACATAGTCCATGTTCCTAACTTTAGATATAGAAATGATACATGCATACAAATTGGATAATCACATTTAGTAAATCATAACCTTTCCAATGATATTTTACATGAGCCATCTTGCATAAAGTATATCTTAGTTATGCCATTCATATCATAACCATATTTCTATGAAGAATATGGGGTGTAATGTCACACTATGGGTACACTTAAAGATGCTGTTTTGGACAGGGTGGGCTTGTCAGCGAAAGAATACCACCAAAAATCCCGAGCAGCTAGATGGAATGGTGGGATATGTCCCCGGGCTTTTGCACAGAAATTGTCAGACTGGGCCAATCGTTGGTTGAGGCCAGAGAGTCAGAACTTTAAAGGCCCTCACGGACTCAATTATTCTGGAACAGTTTACACCAAGCCTCCCCAAGGCTATGAGAGTCTGGATCTGGAGACATTTGTTAGAGGCCACTGTAAAATTAAAAGAGGAGCATATAGAAGCAGACTTTCCATGAAAAGAGCTCTGTTCTCCTCTACAGCAAGGAAGGGAGGAAAGAAGCTTAAGGAACCTTATTTATTGAAGCCCTGGAATTGGTCACGAGAGGCAAACAAGGGTGCCCCAATTCCCTGCTAAGTGATTTGTTACCAGTGCGGGGGCAAAGGTCATATAAAAAAAGACTGCACCTACATGTACGGGTGGGTTTGCAGAATTCTATGGGTGGACAGGTGTAAAAGGAGGACCTGAGATAAAGGAAAATTCCCATCAAACTAGGCAGGATAACTACAGAGGGACGTTATGGATTCATTGGAAGCATGTTCCCTTGTATAGAGCACCTTAGTTAGACCACAGTGGCAACAGGAGAGAGTGACGATAACAATGTATTGTGTACATGGGGAAAAGAACATTTATCCCATGTCAGTTGTTCCATTGAAAGTAGAAGGAAAGTTTAAATGGCAGAGAGTGGGTGTAGTAAATCCATTGCCTTACTTGATAACACGAGGAACTTATTGGAGTCCATTTCTCGTAGTAAAAAAGGGGCAGATGAGGGGAGTGAGAGACCCCAACAGATAGGTCCGTGTAAAGAGAACACAAATGTAGACCCTCCAAGTAGCCTTCCAGGTGCAGTGTTTAATAACCCTAGACATACCATAACAAGCCCAGAAAGAAGAGATGTGCTGGAGGATTTGGGAAAGAAAAACTTGAAGAGAGCAATAGATCAGGGACACCTAAAGGAGCAGGAGGGCAGAGGCTCAACCAACTCCCAGGAGGACCAAGCCATGTGCACGGTACAGGATGATGAACATACAGAAGAGAGGGAGAAGAGTACCAGTAAAGAGGACTTGACAGGCAAACTTGCCCCAATAGTCCCAAGCCAGGGGCATGATAAGTCAGGAGAAGAGAGGGATTCTGATATTGAGGCTCTGGAGGAACAATTTACTCAGATAGATACAAGCCAGGAGCAAAGTAAGCTGGAGGAAAGATCCATGGGGTGCGACTGGTGTGATGACCTATGGGCTGAGGTGGAACTGTGGGGGAAACCTCTACCCTCCAAATTTACTATTTTTACAGGTAGAAGGCAGGAGACCGGAGACCCTCCCCAGTGGTCTGTAGAAGACCAGTCTGAAAGGGCTGAGGAAGCCCCAGTAGAATCTCAATGCCATAAAGAGGGTAGGGCTTGGGCAGGAAAAAAAGACCTCCTTGGGAGGCAGGAAAAGGTCTCAACTGGAATAAGTGGGGAAGGTATGTGACAGCACTTTCTGTGACACATTGGTTGGTGCAGAGGCTTAATGGAAGTTAATTAACCTGTCTCTGTTGGGGATCACTGATACTTGGGTGGCAGTTGCTGGGCTGAGGAGGCAATTGGCTCAGTAATTTGGAGGATATATATTTGGAAGGAACAGATTAGGCAGCGTACTCAGGATAAGAGGAGGTCTGCCCTGTGACACAGGCCCATCCCAGATAGGAGTATAATTAGCAATAACATCATTATGCATTTCCATTTTGACAATATATATTCGAGTGGCTCTGCTCATGTCTTAACCTTGTGCTGCAGGACGAGAGTGTTTTGTGTCAGTAAACTTTGGGATTAACATATAGCCCAATAGTGGTTCCTCAGGATAGGCAGGCACGTTGTGTAGTCTGTTGAATATAGTCTATGGACAATATCCTAGTCTGTGCACATGGATGTTGATGGACTTGAAGGAATTACATGGGCTGCTGTGGATTCCAACCGGTAGGAGCAGAAGCAACCAAAGCGGGGACCTCTGGACATTCAGTGAACTTTCTACAGTTTTGACTGGCCTTTCTCTGCCCTGTGTTCACTGGCTGTTTGCTTCAACCTTTGCCCTCCTTCACAGTCTCTTCACATCAGTTTCACTCTATGACTTTACCTCTTACCCCTTGCCCTC